TTGGCGTGGCAGCCGTGGCACTTGGAAACATCCACCTTCGTTTCAGGTGGCAGGCGTGGCACTTCGTGACATCTACCTTGTCATCACACCAGTTGTCTTCACACTACTTGTCCACACACAACTTGTCCACTTGTCATCACACCACTTGTGTCTTCACACTACTTGTACACATACAACTTACTCACACGCAACTTGTCATCAGACCACTTCTCATCACACCACTTGTCATCACACCACTTGTCTTCACACTACTTGTCTTCACACTACTTGTCCACCGGGCACCAGCACACAGGCAGAGTCAAGCTGCGTCGGTTAGTGCTGTGTGCGCAGCTACATCGAGTGTTGCCGTCATGACATGTCAGGTTTGTGGCATGTTAGCTGTGGGACTGAAGTGTCACATGTCATGAACTCCGACAGCAGTGAAAGGATAAGAGTTCGAATAGGATTACAGCATCAAGAGACAAAACATGCGACAAGTTGCACTTTTTCCCCACATCTTTGTGGGGGGTTCTTGTTTTTGGTTCTGCATCCCGTCCGCCTCCCGCTCCCGCTCCCGTCGCCTCCTCCCGTCACGCACAACTTGTCCACACCACTACTTGTCCACGCACAACTTGCCTTCACACTACTTGTCCACACACAACTTACTCACACAGCACAACTTACTCACATACAACTTACTCACACACAACTTACTCACACACAACTTACTCACATACATACAACTTACTCACACACAACTTGCTCACATACAACTTACTCACATACAACTTGCTCACACACAACTTGCTCACACACACACAACTTGCACACACACACAACTTACTCACATACAACTTGCTCACACACAACTTACTCACACACAACTTACTCACACACACAACTTACTCACACACAACTTGCACACACACAACTTGCTCACACACAACTTACTCACACACAACTTACTCACATACAACTTGCTCACATACAACAACTTGCTCACACACAACTTACTTACTCACACACAACTTGTTTACACACAACTTGTCCACACACAACTTACTGGGACGCCGCGGCGTTTTGCGTGGCAGGCGTGGCACTTATGGCACTGGGTTGGCTCTGGTGGCGCGCTTGGTTTTCAGGCCGCGCTGGGACGCCGCGGCGTTTTGTGTGGCAGGCGTGGCACTTTGTGACATCCACCTTCACTTTGTGTGGCAGGCGTCGCGCTTGATGACATGGATCGTCACTTTGCGTGGCAGGCGTGGCACTTTGTGACGTCCACCTTCACTTTGTGTGGCAGGCGTGGCACTTGATGACATGGATCGTCACTTTGCGTGGCAGGCGTGGCACTTGCAGGCGTGGCACTTGTCAACACATGGATCGTCACTTTGCGTGGCAGGCATGGCACTTGTGGCACTGGGTTGGCTCTGGTGGCGCGCTTGGTTCCCAGGCCGCGCTGGGACGCCGCGGCGTTTTGCGTGGCAGGCGTGGCACTTTGTGACATCCACCTTCACTTTGCGTGGCAGGCGTCGCGCTTGATGACATAGATCGTCACTTTGCGTGGCAGGCGTGGCAGGCACTTATGGCACTTATACCCTTATACATGGAAGAGACCCAATTCCTTGCAGAACTACATACATAGAATATAAGTCTCAAAGGGAAGATTTACCATCTTTTTGAGGAACACCACCCAATTCCATTGGTGTTCATTGCAAAGTAGTTTTTTCATAGTTCTGCGACGCCGGTCGTGGGGGGTACCCTTCGGTGAGCTTAAAAACAACTTTAAAAAAAAAAACATACATTCTAAAAAGAAATTGATCAATTCGGGGGACCGTTTTTTTTGAAATGTTCCAGTTTAGGAACTTCAGACATCCAGGGTTGTTACTCCCCAAAGGGAATTACACATATACCCCTTATACATGTAAGAGATTTAATTCCTTGCAGAACTACATACATAGAATATAAGTCCCAAGGGGAAGATTGATCATTTTTTTGAGGAACACCACCTAATTCCATTGGTTTTCATTGCAAAGTAGTTTTTTCATTGTTCTACGACACCGCTCGTGGGGGTACCCTTAGGTGAGCTTAAAAAACTCATTTTTTTAACACAAAACAAAAAGATTTTTTTCATTTCGGGTGACCTGGTGTTTTTTAAATGTTCCAGTTCAGGAGCTTCAGACATCCAGGTTGCCACTCCCCAAAGGGAATTGATTTATACCCTTGTACATGGAAGAGACCCAATTCCTTGCAGAACTACATACATAGAATATAAGTCTCAAGGGGAAGATTCACTATCTTTTTGAGGAACACCACCCAATTCCATTGGTTTTCATTGCAAAGTAGTTTTTTCATAGTTCTGCGACACCGGTCGTGGGGGCTACCCTTCGGTGAGCTTCAACAATTCATTTTTTAAATACATTATAAAAAGAAATTGATCATTTCGGGTGATTTTTTTTTGAAACGTTCCAGTTCAGGAGTTTCAGACATCCGGGGTTGCTGCTCCCCAAAGGGAATTACGTATATAATATATAATTACCCTTATACATGAATGGGACCCAATTCCCTGCAGAATTACATACATAGAATATAGGTCACCAGTGAACATATTCATCCATTTTTTCAGGAACACTACCTATTTATTTCCATTGGTGTTCATTGCAAAGTAGTTTTTTCATAGTTCTGCGACACTGGTCGTGGGGGCTACCCTTCGGTGAGCTTAAACAATTCATTTTTTAAATACATTATAAAAAGAAATTGATCATTTCGGGTGATTTTTTTTTGAAACGTTCCAGTTCAGGAGTTTCAGACATCCGGGGTTGCTGCTCCCCAAAGGGAATTACGTATATAATTTATAATTACCCATACATGAATGGGACCCAATTCCTTGCAGAATTACATACATAGAATATAGGTCCCCAGTGAACATATTCATCCATTTTTTCAGGAACACCACCCAATTCCATTGGTGTTCATTGCAAAATCGTTTTTTTTAAATAATTTACGACACCGGTCGTGGGGGGTACCCTTCGGGGAGCTTAAACAACTCATTTTTCAAATACATTATAAAAAGAAATTGATCATTTCGGGTGATTTTTTTTTGAAACGTTCCAGTTCAGGAGTTTCAGACATCCGGGGTTGCTGCTCCCCAAAGGGAATTACGTATATAATTTATAATTACCCATACATGAATGGGACCCAATTCCTTGCAGAATTACATACATAGAATATAGGTCCCCAGTGAACATATTCATCCATTTTTTCAGGAACACCACCCAATTCCATTGGTGTTCATTGCAAAATCGTTTTTTTTAAATAATTTACGACACCGGTCGTGGGGGGTACCCTTCGGGGAGCTTAAACAACTCATTTTTCAAATACATTATAAAAAGAAATTGATCATTTCGGTCACCTGTTTTTTTGTTGAAACGTTCTAGTTGAGGAATTTCAGACATCCAGGGTTGCTGCTCCCCGAAGGGAATTATATATGTATATAAAATATACACCCTTATGCATGAAAGGGACCCAATTCCTTCCAGTACGGATGATATTTTGATAATCCAAAGGATTTTAGTGATTTTAGTGGGATGAACATTTGAAACATGTCCATTTATGCCCATTTATGCTGCAGTATGGGTGATATTTTGATAATTCAAAAGATTTTAGTGGGATGAACATTTGAAAAATGTCCATTTATGTCCATTTTTGCTGCAGTATGGGTGATATTTTGATAATTCAAAAGATTTTAGTGGGATGGACATTTGAAAAATGTCCATTTATGTCCATTTTTGCTGCAGTATGGGTGATATTTTGATAATTCAAAAGGTATTAGTGGGATGAAAATTTGACAAATGTCCATTTATGTCCATTTATGCTGCAGTATGAGTGACATTTTTATAATTCAAACAAATCAAAAAAAACATCTTCCAGAATTGAAAAAATATTCTATGTATACCTCTGGGATATTCTATGTACGTTTTTTTTTTCAAGTCCTGAAGATGCCCTAAAACGTATTTTTTCAATTCTATATTCTATGTTCGGGTAGTTTGTTATATATATGTATATATACGTATGTGTGGGTATGCATCAATCATCATCAACCACGAATGTGGTCATGCACACATACGCACACACACACATACACGCACACGTGAGAGAGACCAGGCCAAAGCGGCGGCAGCTGTCACAAATCAACGCATCCGAACTCCAACTGAGCAATTTTCAAGAAAATCTTTGCTACTGCACCATTGCCTTCCTGTTGCAAACTCTTCCACTACTTGGAGGGCCGGGGGCGGTTATAAGCACATAGCAAGGTTAGAGCACTTATATAACCTACTTACTAAGTGCTGTAACCTACCTTATAAGTGGTGCTAAGTCACCTTATAAGTGGTGCTAAGCGGGGTGCTGTCTCTAAGTCACTTACGTAAGTAGTTACAGTTTTGGGCTAACTATATATTATGTTCCATAAATGATTACACGACTTATGGCACTTGGCTTAGCGTATGTGGGCTAAGTGAGATAGGCAGCTTAAGCCCTAAGTGGCTTAAGTCCTGTAAAGGATTTACGCTACTTACGTATCTAGGCTAAGTGCACTTACAAAAAATTGCGGAAACACAAAATCCCGTTTCACATTTGGTGGAAACACAAAATTTCTGAATGGGGTTTTGGTGGAAACACAAAATACCGTTGCAAGTTTTTGTGGAAACACAAGAATCCAAATCGCGTTTTGCGGAAACACCAAAGCGCTCGTGGACTTAGGTAAGTTCTGTAAGCCACTTACGTAAGTGCACTAAGTGCTGTCCCGGTAAGTCCACTAAGTCACATACTGTAAGCGCTGTATCCAAATAGTAAGTGCCGTATGTACCTAGTATGTCCCCTATGTGCTTATAACCGCCCCCGAGCCTCCAAGTATTGAAAGCCGCAAATTGGCTCCAACAGGAAATTACTCGCGGGTCATTACCAGTTCGGCTACGAGCACGCTTGACCAAACATAAACAATCCGTTAGCACACAAAACTCAGCAAGGCACCTAATCGCCGTCCTTGCCCACCAAAGGACTGGAAACTCCTCAGCGAATTCTGCCAGCAGGGATTCGCGGTCAAGGCATGCTGGATTGACAAGCATTCTGTGTATCAAACAAGCACATGCAATCAGTTGTAATCATTTGTAAATACACATGTATGGCATTGTATGGCCGCGCAATACGGCGCAGCGCAAGGCATTGCAAGGAAGCGTGGGGTAACATGGACTTGAAACAATTTCATGTTGCGGCTGTAAAAAAAAGCGCCCATGTACTCAGCTTTTGCAGAGTTCTGTCGTATTTCTTTTGACTGGGTATTTTCACGTGTTTTGGCATGTCAATGTGACCTATACTTATACTTGTAGATGGGGCACCTTTGGACAGATGAACTTTGTTTCTGGAGCTTTGGTAAAAGTTATGTAAGAGGACCGGACAACTTTGCATGTTTAAAGCGTTCTGTGGTCAAGAAAGAAGAAGAGAGGTTGGATGATGAAGGTTGGGTAAAGCAATGGGTTGTCTCAGATTGAAAAGCAACGGCACAGAAGAAAAAACATAGAGACACATGAAAAACATACCAAGGACACGCGATGCAGGTGGCTGACACTGAACCGGACACATTGGCAGTACAAGTGCCAAATAATTCAAATTCAAACACAGTCAATCTGCAAATCTGGGCATTAAGCACAAAAAACAATGCAGAGCATCGTCGCAAAAATGGGAAAATTATGAGAAAGTAGCATGAACCACCCACCCTTCAGAACAGCTAAAACGGTCGAACCAGACGAACGCATCCAAAACCACCTTCTACAAACAATCATCTAACCCGCATTTTTTCATTGAAACGTGCTCGGAACACAGGCGGTTTGGGCAGCTTGTTTTTTTTAGCCCTTGAAAATGTCCCAAGCCAGAGCCCAATATCGGGCAAATGCGATCATTCACAACATTTGCACATAGTTGTCGTGCTTTTTCGTTTGACGGTCTTTGTGGCTTGGTCTAATTCACATTAGTATAGACAGTATAGACTCAGCCCTGACTGGAGCAAAGTCATTAGGTTTCTGCAGCACTGGAAAAGACAGAACCGATGGACTGGACAGGTAAGTTCCATGAGAAGAAAACATGTCGAGGCTCGAAGAGCTGTGGATGGAACTCAAAAACATGAGCGTGAAGGGAGAAGGCAGAACTGAAGCTTTGCCGCCAAAACACAGTGAACATGTATTGGAATGCAAAGTGTGCAATAAATGACAGGCTTGTGTACATTGAAAGTCACTGTTTTCTCTGAGAGCAACGGCGGCATTTTCTAAGGTCAATACGGCTGGCGAAGTGGTGTCCTCTCTGAACGAGATTCACGAGAGTCTGCCCAGTCAGCAGACCTTCTCTGCGTCTCACCTGGAGCAAGCTACACGAATTGGCTCAGGGTAGACAAAACCAATCAAGAAAAACATATGCAAGACTGGAATTTTCAGACGTTGAATTTGGGGTAAGGGGACTGCAAGGGGAGATTCGGAAGTGCAACAAGTGCTGCGTAGTCTGGACCGACCAAAGCTATCGGATGCTGTAGGCTACAAACGCTGCATCGTTGAGACTTCCGGCCAGTAACAGCATGAAAGTAGGCAAAGCAAACAAGTTTACAGAGAAGAAGTTGGCCAAGCATGCCACCGGATCCGGACATATCCTGATAGACGTACCTCATTCTCAACTCAAAATGGCGCAGCAAAAACTTTAAAAAAACACAGGGTCCTGAACACGAGAAACTTCACGCAACTTTGATTGTAAGGAACTTGAGTAAGCTGACAACTGGACGGATTTGAAGACACATGTTTTTAAACCGATGCGCATTTCGCGTGGTTTTTCTCTTTGAGCCCCCAGGCCAAGCCACCACGGCAGCAGGAAGGCTCACAGCTGGAACGGCTAAGAGCAGCAGCCACTGGAGCTTCAAACTGGAGGCTGTCTGAAGATCCCACTGCTGATTTGAAATTACAAAAATGAAACAAGACCAAGTAAGGACAGCGAGAAAAAGCAAGGATACTCTTGCACGTAAGAACTAAGAATGCATGTCACAAGGTCCAGGGCCACTAATAACCCAATTCTGTGCACACCCTCCAAAATTTGGATCAAATCATGCTTATCATGCTTCCACCATCTGCCATACGAATGCGACGGCATACAAAGCAAAAAGGGATGCTCACCTCCATGCGAGGCTGAGCAATGAGACGGGCTGGTGGACCTTGCTGTAATTGTCAGTGCGTCCGCATGCTTCTGCTTGAGCTCAAACCACTATAAGGTTGGAAAGGTCATGGGTTCCCATCTGGATCTGACCTTGTTCTGCTGGATCCGGCGGATAAACTGCACAAAAGTACTTGATATATCTTGTTCCACAAGCCTTTGTGTGGGGTTCTTGTTTTTCTGTTGGGCACTCCTGTCCGCTCCTCCGCCTACCGCCCTCTTTCACAAACAACTCTGTCACACACAACTCTTTCACACGCAACCTCCTGTCACACGCAACTTTGTCACACACACACACACGCACAACTCTTTTACACGCAACCTCCTGTCACGCGCAACTCTGTCACACACACACACAACTCTTTCGCACACCACGCGCGACTCTCTCACATGTTACTTTTCTTTAGCAAGCGTGGCACTTGGTGACATCGGCGTGGTGTTTGCGTGGCAGGCGTGGCAGTTGTCACATCGACGTTGCTTGTGTGTGGCAGGCCTGGCGTTTGGTGACATGTGCTTCACTTTTGTTTGGCAGGCGTGGCATTTGGTGACATCGACGGTGCTTTTGTGTGGCAGGCGTAAAGCTGACTTCCATTTGTCAACACACTGTTCGGCCGTTACTTGTCATTGTGTCACACTGCATCCCTTGAAGCCCCAATTCTCGTCGCTGTGTTGCTGCCGGGTACCTCTCCGACTTCATCCTGCGCATGTTCCTGTCGCCGGGTCGAAGACGGTTGTTTTGATGCAATGTGCGAAGAAGCAACCTTTTGCATCCGCCGGGCACCTCTAGCAGACGTCCGTTTCCGTGATGGTCTGCACAGTCTGTCCGGCGACATTGCTCATGGTGCCAAAACCGGTGCTGGCCAGTTACCAGGTCCCAAGGTGCTGGCAACGCAACTCTTTCGCATCCAAATCCCTTCCATGCAAAACTCTTGTCACATACTACTCTGTCAAACGCAGCCCTTGGCCCTTTCACCCGCAACTCTTCCACATGCAAGACTCTCATACAGCTTGTTTTCACCTGCAACTCTTCTACGTGTCTCCCACACACCACGCACCTCTGTCCCACAAAACTCGTCACACACAACTCCTTCACACACACACAACTCTTTCACTCGCAACTCTTCCACACATACAAAACTCTCACACACCTTGCTTTCGCACACCGCTCTTTTACATACATATCTTCCACGCACACCTCTTTCACACACAGCTCTTGCACACAAACCTCTTCCCCACGCAACTCTTTCACAGACAACCCTTTCACACACAGCTCTGCCACCCACAACTCTCTTGCACATGGGACATGGACCTCTTCCCCAGGCAACTCTTCCAGATACACCTCCTTCACACACAACTCTTCCACCAACAACTCTTTCACACACAACTCTTGCACACAACTCCTCTTTGTCTTTCCTGCCTTCTCCGTACCGTTTTAACCCTGTTTGTAATTTGATGTAGTTTGAGGAAGAAGTTGACTTGTGGGGTTATCCGGTCCTTTGATTATTATGTTGCCAGATTTTGCCGAAGAAGGCTTCTAGAATCTTCTAGGTTTGCTGCCCAAACGTCGATGAACTTGACAAAATCAAAGATGCCGTTGATACCGCTCATCAGCCCCCAATAACCTTGCAGCATGTCTTGCAAAGCCGCATGCATCGATGACTCTTCAAGTCTTTAAATGCACCATTCCATTGTGCCCAATTCTTCTGAAGCACAGAGAAAGGTCACGTGCAGGTCCTCCTGGTGCAACTTTGCAACACTTAGTGGCACTGGTTTAGAACTTGATTTCATCACCATCATACCGTCATGGCACCAGGATCAATTAGAACCACAGGATTGGGATCACTTAGAACAACCGGATCACTTAGAACCAAAAAGCATCACTTAGAACCACCAAATTAGGATCACCAGAACCACCAGTCCCAGATGTTGATGGTTGAGGCTGCTACAACCAGCATGGTGGAATGAGACCTTTAGGGTAACACTTGGGGACACGGGGCTGGGACATGGGGTGGGTTTAGGGGACCAGCATAGCACGATGATGATGAAGAAGATGATGACGATGATGATGACGATGACGATGGCGATAACTTAACGATGATGATGATGATGATGGTGATGATGATGCCGATGATTGATGCTGATGATTGATGCTGCTGATGATTGTTGTTGTTGTTGTTGATGATGATGATGACGATGGTGATGATGATGCTGCTGATGATCGTGATTGCAGGGTGGTTCTAAGCGATGCCATTTGCGCGGTTCTAAGCGATCCAAATCCCGTGGTTCCAAGCGATCCCGCGACCATCCCTGACGGGGATTGCACAACAAATTCTATTCTACATCAATAAATGGAAAGAAGCAGCCAGGGCCGAACTGCTGATTTTGATAAGAGACACTAGTATTCGCACAGCATCCATGAAGGGATCTTTATCCCAGCATGTCACCGAACCTATCATAGACTTCACGGAACAGCAGGGATGTAGAGAAGGCGATCTGAAAGCATAAAGTGCATATTATTGAGAGACTTTGAAGTTGCACACAACATAGAACAAAGATTTGACTTGTCCAACCAAAAACATCCAAAAACGATACAAATGCATGCATACATGAAATGCAATGTACTGCAGCGCAATACAGTGCAATGCAATGCAACGCTTTGCAGTGTGATGTGATGTACTTGTGTACCTACCTACCTATATATGTAAATACCTACATCCACTACATTACATTCCATGACATTGCATATATTGCATTACATTGCATTGCATTGCAGTGCCTTGCGTTACATCGCACAACAATACATAACATAACATGACATAACATAAGATGAAGTATGATGAAATAACAGAACAGAACAGAACAGAACAGAACAGAACAGCACACAACACAACATAACATAACATAACATACAACAAGTAGCACCCGGGCAAGCCGGGGGCGGACGTTTCAAATTTGAAATAGTATTAGTAATAGATGCCAAGACTTCCTTTGAACATAGCATACACACATTTGCATGATTTGTATGTTTCTATGATATATATATATAGATAATTATATAATTATATATATATATTGATATATTGCATTTATATCCGGGTTGAAATATAGGGGGAGACGTTGTGACCCCTCGTTTTATTAGTACAGACCTCGGGCCTTACCCCGGATTGCTACAAAATAAAAAACCAGGGTCCAGGTGCATCAACACAGGCTTGCTACAAAATGTTATGCCCAACGGTTTTTTAAACTTCAAAATCCAACATGTTACCTCTTGCTTTGTTGCAGGTCATTTTGTAGCTATTAAATCCTTCTACCCATCCAGTGGAGGGATTTCATTTTGTAGTCGCGTGAGGGCCGCTCCTGCATTGTTTCCCCATCGTCAATTTGCAGCTATGACTACTACAAAATGAAAACCCAGGGTCTGGGTGCATCAACATAGCCTTGCCACAAAGTCGAAATTACATGCGCAGCGGCACACTTAAACCCAAAAAACAGAAAGGATGACATGATATGACATGCTTTTTTTGATCATTTTGTAGCTGTTCACTTTCTCCATCCATGGCCACTCCTTTCAGCGGATCTTGGTTGTTGTCTAGCTCTTGTCCTTTAGATTTCATGGCAGTCTGTGTGGAAAACCCGGAAACGTTTTTTCACACTCAGAGATATTGAAAGCCCCTAACTATCACAAAATTAAAAAACCACTCTATAAAGATCAAAAGGCGCACACAAAAACAAGTAAACAAACGCGCTCTAAGCATCAAAACATTTGTTTTTTCAAAAAGTGCGTTTTTTTGAGTTCATATCGGTCGAGTGCAAATAAATGCAACTTTGGGATGCCCATGAGTTTCCAAAAATCAACCTCCTATATGTTTAACCATGATTGTCACAGCAACTGCACAGCTTCAAGTTCAATTGACTGATTTAGAAACCAAATCTGCCTCACGTTGTTCCTCTTTAAAGTCTCTCCATCACAGCATCTCTTCAAACCTCTATTGGGGGTCGCCTGGAGGGGACCCAGTAGGTTGTACAAAATGTTTGTACGCGCCTGTGTTGCTACAAAATGCAATGCGCATGCATGACAAAAGTTATCCGGGAAACTAGCTGCTTCAAGGGTGGTTCCAAGAACCACCCCCTGCAAAATGCCAATCACATATTGAATCTGTGCTTTGTGGTTGAAAGGAACTCTAAGCAGGGATTCTTTGAACTTGGGTGGAATTCGACTATCGGACAAAAAGAGCAGGAACCTACTAGAATTGGATACACTTGGATCGGAATCAAGAAAAAGTGAAACAAAAGCGAAATATTTTTACCACGATTGTCATAGCTATGGGGCAGCAAAACGGATCTGAAGTTTACGGTTTAAACTCAATTCATTGACTTACAGTAGAAACCGCACATGTTTTTAATTTCATTGCCAATAAAACAAAAAACTAAAATTGTTTCGGGGTCTAAAAGCAAGGTGCTACAGATTCTTTGTTTAATGTTTTTCCCAAAAGGAGCAGCTACAAAAAAATGGTTTCACAGCCTGACAATGTAACTGCAAAATGCTTGTGTCAGGCAAAACGGTTGGCTGGCCGCGCATTTTGCTGTCAAGATGCCCCAAACATCATCCTGCTACAAAATGACATGCCTTGCACATGTCTTTTTCTTGATTGCCAACAAACAAACTACAAAATGTTTTCCGGCTCAGACAGCAAGTTGCTACAAAACGGTTTGTTTTTTAATGTTATCACATGTTATCCAAGCAAGAGCAGCTACAAAATGGCTTCACAGCCTAACCATATAAAGCCACACACAGCCTTTAAAAAACTACTTTGCTGCAAAATTGTAGCCCTGGGTACATTAAACAAACACTTTTGTACTGATAAAGTGGATTGGGTTGTACGCCCAGGGCTCTTCAATCTGTAGCTGAAATTTCAACACGGAGGCATTCATGGTATACAAAACACGGTTTGAACATTCCGAACAATTTAGACATTGGGAAGCAGCCCTTGGGCGGTCCTTGTAAGCGTACACACCGAAGGCTGTGGCAACAGCCTTTCGATTTTGCACGAGCCGCTCAGGCTGTCAAGACTCTGGTTGTCTGAGACTCACGCCATAATGAACCCTCCAAAGATATCGAGCAAAAGGACCTCTGCCAACAAATGCTGACGGAATTGGAAGGATGTGCAAGAGGCACAAGGGCCCACAAACAGTCATAAACTACGAACACACTGTAATCAAAAAAGCGGATTTCGCTCTTATAGTAAGCCTAAGTCCATCACCCAGCGCAATAGGACCACTAAGCTCTGTAGCACCAGCAATGTCAATATCGTATACTGCCTGACGTTGCACATTGCACATTCGAGCGTTCTGGGCTCAAAGCGATCCAGAGATACGAAGATGTGAAGAATGGCCCTATAGTCTGCTTTGTTGAGACCACTATCACTATCTGGATGACCGAATTGTGCAATGGAGAACCATTGTGAACACCAAACTCTGGAGGACTGGCTTGCAAGGGCTTTCCGGCTTGGTGGCAAAAAGTGCAGAATCGACGAATTGAATTCTAGAATCGCTAATCGAAAAAGGCAGCAGCTGCATCAAGCTGCCAAACGCCTAAAGCTTCCAGGATTCAGAATCGAGAATTGAGGATCGAGGGACGAGAGGCGAGGATTGACACGTGAGAATCGCGAATCCAGACTGGAAAAAGAGAAAGGAAAATCATGGAAAATCGAGTATCAAGAACCAAGAATCGAAGAACGAGAATCGAGAAACCAGCACCAAGAATTAAGAACCGAAAACGAGGATCAAAATGCCGAGAAGTGAAAATCGAGGATCGAGAGTTCAGAAGCGAAAAGAAGAGAAGCCAGAATCGAGAAACGAGAATCGGAAACCGAGAAGCGAGAATCGAGAGACGAAAATCGAGAAGTGAGACAGGAGAGCCGAGAATCCAGGAATCGAGACATTGTCTTGTCAAGGCGGGTCTGGAACAAACACAAAGAACCTGCTAAAAAATCCAGAACATCCATTCAGGGAAACTCTCTTCTTTTTGGCGTTGAGCTAGAAGGACAAAAAGCAACCATCGAACCGTGCCGAGGCAGCATTCCAATCTGTAACCACCACCTGGATTTCGCATAAGAGCTGTAAGTGCCAAAAGGCATCGACCTCAAGAATCATATTCGATCAAGACAACCAGCACTTCACTGTGTTTCGATGCATGCAGTTGGATGCTCAAGGACGTGAGACAGAAGCTTGACATAAATGAAACATCAGATATACAAAATCATTAAAAAAATGAAATGCCTACAAATACAAGGTACAGAAAACACCAGAGGACCCTGGTCACTCACAGCCATTCACAGCCTCTCCCTAAGGAGGCTGCGGCATTGGGATCAACATCTTCCTAAAGAACGCGAGGTGCCCAGCGCGCAGAGCGCGGAGCGCGCCAAGCGCGCGGACCTGAGCTACGACCTGAGTTTTCGAATCAAGGAATTAACGAAATGACCTTTCGTGTTCAAATGTGCTCAAAAATTAGTTTTAAATGTTTCATCATCCTCTAAAATCCTGAAACATCATGAAAGTAGATGCTCAATCTGATAGATTTAAAGGATTTATATACCTAATAACAGGAACATTTATATAAGCGCGCAGCAATGAAAACCCGGAACCTCAAAAGGAATGGAATGCAAATGTGTGGAGACTTTTTGCCTATGCATGAGCGATCATCAGCGTGTAAGAAAGATCTTTCATCAACGATGTGCTGTCAAAGCCCGAGACCTTACCCACACCAGCTATCAGCGGTCGCGGGCGGGGAGGTCTTGATTGCAAATGGGCAAAAATGTGACAGAAATCCAAACTAGGCAAACCTCATCTTCCTGCAGACATTAATTAGATGGCTCGCTGGCAGCCACACTAGGTCGAACTGCCAAAGATTTGTGGCCAACAGTGAGTGTCAAACTTACCAGTACCTGTAAAAGCCAACAATTGCTTGCCAGCATTGTGCTGGCTGCTAGCCGCAGCAGGATTCCAAAGAGTTGGGTCAGCGCCCAAATTCAACAATGTTCTTGCTGGCTATTCGGTGTTTTTGGCATTCTGAAGAAAAAACCAAAACTTTCCCCTAGTTGCTTGAGTCGCTGGTCGAACATTCGGCTTCGCTATGCCTTTGTGTACCAGCATCACTTCTGGCAAAAAATCCAGCATCATACTGTATTGAGAGCTGTCTCTGCACTGAGGAGTTCCATTTTTTTTTGCAAGGTTTGCGTTACGCAGGGCCAGGACAGGTTCTATCCGGCACAATGCCAGTAGTGCCGCACAAGGCGGTGGCGGAAGTTTCAAAGAGAGGAAACTATAGGAGAGGTGAGTTGTTGTGATCTACACGGCGCTACAACTACAACTGCAGCTTCAACCTCCACTACACAACAACTGCAATTACCAGTAAACTACACTACAACTACAACTACAGCTTCAACTTAAACTTCAACTACACTACAGCAACAATTGCCAATACCCTACAACTACAACTGCAGCTACAAGTACAACTCCTACAACTACTACAATTACTACAACTACAATTTCAGCTACACTTTATATATTTGCACTTCAACTACAACTACAAACACAACTACAAATACAACTACAACATTACAACTTCATCAACATCAACTACCTTACAGCTACAACTACAGCTACAAGTACACCTACAATTACATTGCACTTCGCTACACCGCACTACATCCTGCAGTTGCGGGTGAGGTGACCACTGCAACCACTCCAAAATCACAACCACCTTTCGGTCCATCAGTGGATTCTCTCTGTCTTGTGTAGTGGTAGTTGTAGTTCTAGTGTAGTTGTAGCTGTAGTTGTACTGTAGTTGTAGAGTAGTTGAAGTTGTAGTTGCAATGGCAGTTGTAGTTGGAGCTGCAGTTGTGGTTGCAGTTGTTGTAGTTGCAGTTGTTGTAGTTGCAGTTGTTGTAGTTGCAGTTGTTGTAGTTGCAGTTGTTGTAGTTGCCGTCGCCGTCGCCGCCGCCGCCGTGGTTGTTGTTGTTGTTGTTGTTTCTGTAGTGTTGTGTAATGATACTTGTAGTTGTAGTTGAAGTTGTAGTTGAAGTGTAGCTGATGTCGTTGTTGAACTTGTAGCTGTAGTTGTAGCTGTAGTTGTAGTGTAGTTGCAGTTCTATCTATCTGGCTATCTAATATCTATAAATCTGTTTGTCTATCTGTCGATCTATCTGTCTATCTGTTTATCTCTCTATCTGCCTGTCTGTCTATCTAGCCATCTTTCTGTCTACAGGTATCTATCTATCTCTCTATCTCTCTATTTCTCTATCTCTCTATCTCTCTATCTCTCTATCTATGTATCTATCTATCTATCTATCTATCTGCAAGCGTAAAAACGAAGCTATTCTGCGAGACGTCCCACATTTTTGAACCTGACAACTGAAGAAACTGGAAAGTTGAGTGCAGAGCTGACGGCCTCGTGCCAATGCGTTTTGCGATTTTTCCACTCCATCTGTCTAAAGTACTGCACCTGCCACGAAAAAGTGAAGCCAGGTCATACGAAGTGCTGCACCTGTCACGCAAAATCATCTTCCCAAAACTGACGATCTGATGCTCCAAAATGCAACCCCTCTCAGGAAATCTCTGCCCTGATCTCCTAACATCTCTGATGAACATGTCTCTATTGTACTGCGCATGCCACGCGAAGTGCATCTTTGCAAATCCTCTTCAAATGTCCCACGCCTGCCATCGTTTTTGGAAATTCCACAAAACCCTCACGTTTGCTCACTTTTGACAAGGTGCAGAATCCCTTGCGCCCGCCACTCCAAACGACGCTCCAACGTCCAAAAATGGTCCGAGCATGTTGTGTTCTTAATCTTTTGACTTTGAAATGTGCTTCACGCCACAACGGCGTGCGCTTTTTCAACATGTCAACTTCCAAAAGTGGTCTGAACCTGCTGTGTTTGTAGATTTTGACTTCGAAATGTGCTTCGCGCTACAACGCCGTGCACTTTTTGAACATCTCATCTTCCAAAAGTGCTCCGGACCTGGTGTGTTTTGCACGTGTTTACTTCGAAATGTGCTTCGCGCACCTTCGCGCCATAACGGCGTGCCCTTTTGCCACATCGCAACTTCCAAAAGTGTTCCGGCGTTGATGTGTTTTGTACATTTTGACTTCGAAACGTGCTTTGCGCCACAACGGCGTGCAATTTTTCATCTCTCATCTGCCCAGATGGCTCTGCGCCCGTCGCTTTAGCGAGCCTACTTTTCGACTCTCTGAACCACAAATCACTGGAAAACCGCAATGTCTTGCCTTTTCGCGCGCCTGCATCTTCTTTCTTCTGGCTCTTTCTCTTCTCTGATCGTCTTTCTTCTTCTTTTCTCCTCTCTGATTCTTCCCACCTCTGCTTTTCCATCTGTCCATATTGTCGGAAGTTTGACTTCTAAACTTCCTTCGCCCACAGCAACATATAGAATATAGAAACCACGGCCAAGGTCAAGTGAGGCGAAATCCCACGGCTCACCAACAGTTACAGGTCATTACATGTCGACATGGACACCAACACCTCGGATATCGATGACCGTATTCCATTTTTCCTCCGTGCCGTCTTAGCAGCGCATTGGCCAATGTCTCAAGCGAGAATTGCACGCCTTGTCCACATCATTGCCTTATTCTACTCTCTTGAGTTACAGTACTTCTACATACTTATACATACTTATACTGCTTATACTATCTTACATTTACTTTAGAAGGCAGACCGACCTCCAAACATGGCCGCTGATTGGGACTTGTTCTAGCACCAACCCTGATTGGTATCCGAGTGAGACGCAACGACGACTTCGTTGAGTGAAACGGAGCTACCGCAACACCGCCTAGGCAATGAACCTTTCATTCACAAAATGCAGCATGAAATGGTCACTTTATGTCACCATATATGTCACCTTCCTTTGTTGCAGAGGTAGGTTGCAGGATTCACTACATTAGTCTTCCAATGTGATGCAGGATTCGCTGCATGAGTCTTCCAATGTGATTGGTCCTCCCTGAGCATTCGTGTTCAGATAACTCTGATCAGTCAATATGTTACCATCCTAAGATGTATGATTTTGCACAATTTAATGTTCAACCTCTTCGGTCTTTCTTGTCACTTCCTGAAGCGAGGTGGAAGCTATGTGGCTGACAGGGCTTTCTTCAGCACACAGTGGGTGGCAACAGGCAGCTGTTTGCAACACTGCAGGGTCGCGTTTCATCGTCTTTCCGTCTTGTAGCGATGTGTTGTATCTGGAAGGTCCAAGAAAAAACAAGACTATGGTTTTGCATTGCCTTTTGTCAAAATTTGACGGGCATCCAAACCACTAGTTTGCCAATTCCATCACAGACTAAGTACCGGCATGGAACTACTTATCATCTCCCGACAACAAACAACTTGTGAATATGGCTTTTTGCTTGCCGTGGAAAGCGCAGAAACTAGACGACAGTGTGGCCCGAAAGAAAAGCAGGAGGGAGTAGATCAAAAGAGGATTTAAAAGAAACTATGAAGATGAATAATGATGAAGGATGATGAATGATGAATGAGGTTGTGGATGCACAATGGTCAATTAATGAATGTATACTGAATACTGAATGATTCTGAAGTTGTTATATTGTATGTATATCTGTGTGTCCCCATGGCGTCTTTTCAGATGACTGCACAGAGAAGTCTTTGTGCAGAGGAGCTTTGATACGCAGACGGTTTTACACAGAGACATATTTGCACTTCTACACGCAGAAGCTTTTACACAGAGAAGTCTTTACACAGAGGAACTTTTACACACAGAAGTCTTTACACTGAAAAACCTTTACGCAGTGGAGCTTTTACACACAGACGCGTTTACACGGAGGAGCTTTTACACACAGATACTTTTACACAGAGGGGCCCTTACACACTGACGCGTTTACACACAGAAGCTTTTACACACAGAGGCTTTTACACACAGAGGAGCTTACACACACAGAAGCTTCTACACAGAGAAGTCTTTACACAGAGGAGCTTTTACACACAGACGCTACACACAGAAGCTTTTACATAGAGGAGCTTGCGCACACACACAGAGACTTTTACACAGAAAAGTCTTTACACAGAGGAGCATTTACACACAGACGCTCTTACAAAGAGAAGCTTTTGCAGAAAGAAACCTTTACACAGAGGAGCGTTTACACACAGATGCTTTTGACACACAGAAGCTTTTACATAGAGGAGCTTGCACACACACAGAAACATTTACACAGAGAAATCTTTACACAGAGGAGCATTTACACACAGACGCTCTTACGCAGAAAAGCTTTTGCACAAAGAAACCTTTACACAAAGGAGCTTTTTCACGCAGATGCTTTTACACACAGAAGCTTTTACATGGAGGAGCTTGCGCGCACACAGAAACTTTTACACAGAGAAGTCTTTACACAGAGGAGCTTTTACACACAGATGCTTTTGCACAGAGAAGTTTTTACACAGAGGAGCTTTTACACACAGATGCTTTTACACACAAAAGTTTTTGCGCAAAGAAGTCTTTACACAGGAGGGGCTTTTACCCGCAGGCGCGCTTACACACAGAAACTTTTACACAGAGAAGTGTTTACACAGAGCAGCTTTTGCAAACAGACGCGTTTGCACAGAGGAGCTTTTACGCAGTGGAGCTTTTACACACACACACAGACGCGTTTACACAGAGGAGCTTTTACACACAGCAGATGCACTGCCAATTGTCATGACCAATGCAGTTTTGACGTGATTTTCACCCTGTATTTACAAGGACCGTGCTCTCAGTGCATCAACGGCCAACCCTGAGGAAAAAAACAAAAGTCCAAGCGCAAACAACATCTACGGCTGGAATCTTGAACTGTACACACATGGTCATTTCTGCAGATTGCGCACCTTTAGACTTGAAAACGTGGCCCCTTTTGCAACTATGCCAGCCGGTAACAAAATTATCAGACTGTAGGTCCGATTTCTCGAAGCCCGATCAACTTTTGAAATGCAGAAGCTTTTACATTTTACACAGAGGCGCCCTTACACACAAACGCGTTTACACAGAGAAGCTTTTACACAGAGGAGCTTGCACACACAGAAGCTTTTACGCAGAGAAGTCTTTACACAGAGGAGCTTTTAAACACAGACGCTTTTACACAGAGAAGCTTTTGCGCAGAGAAGTCTTACACAGAGGGGTTTACACACAAAAGCTTTTTACCCACAGACGCTTTTACACACAGAAGCTTTTACACAGAGAAGTCTTTACGCAAAGAGGGTTTTACACACAGAAGCTTTTACACAGAGAAGAGGTCTTACACACAGACCCGTTTGCACACAGAAGCTTATACACAAGGACGCGTTCAAGCGCACAAGCTTTTACACACTGAAGATACTGAAGCTTTTACACAAGGAAACTTGCACACAGAGAACCCTAAACTTTGTGACGTTGCGACTTCGCAATTTTACCTCAGTTTTTGCTTTTCGACCTTCATTTCGTGAGAAGGGGTCGCATCTGAGATTTCAATTTTGCAACTTTACAGTTTACAGCAGTTTTTGACACTCGACCATTTCGCGCGAGAGGGTTGCATCTGAAGATGCAAAATTGCAAGTTTATTTTAGTTTTTGATGTTCGACCTTCATTTCGTGCGAAAGGGTTGCGTCGTTGGATCTTTCGATATGGCAATTTTACATTGTCGACATTAAATTCGTGCAAAAAGGTTGCGTCTGAAGTTTCGACAATGCAATTTTTACACCAGTTTTAGACAACCGACCCTCATTTCGTTCGAAATGGCGATGCCGTCGCCCACAAAATTGGCATTTCACCGTACGTTCGTGTTTCACCACACAAGAGGTTGCCAAGCCCTCCAAAATGCGTTTCACCACACGTTTGTCCGTCCCACATGCAAGATCTCCGCAAAGGGCCGATACGCACGATCTCCGCAGAAGGTCACGTTTCGATGGGCACGACCGGACTGCCCCTGCCGCCTTAAGAGAGAATTTAGAAGAACCTGAGAAGTAGGAGTTGTGTAGGAGATCAGATACAAGTAGATCACCTGTTAGCTCCTGTGTGACAATTCCTGTGTAAGAACTCGCGTGAAAAAACCCCTGTGTAAAACTCCTGTGTAAGAACTCCTGTGTGAGAACTCCTGTATAAGAACTCCTGTGTAAAAACTCCTGTGCAAAAACTCCTGTGCAAAAACTCCTGTGTAAGAACTCCTGTGAAAGATCTCCTGTGAAAAACTATGTAAGAACTCCTGTGTAAAAACTCCTATGCAAGAACTCCAGTGTAAGAACCCCTGTGTAACAACTCCTGTGTGAAACAGCATGATGTAGATGATGTGTTGAATCCGTCCTAAAAGCTGTAACAGTCAAAAAAGGATGTCTTTATATTTTGGGCGAACGTTGTTTTGAGTGTTTTCCTTCGTGCACAAAATCGTGCCTTTCGGTGCTTTCCGCGTGCAAAAAATCGTGCTCTAGATCGTGCTTTTTGGTGCTCTCCCTCGTGCCAAAAATCGTGCTCTAGATCGTGCTTTTTGGTGCTCTCTCTCGTGCACAAAATTGTGCTTTTTGGTGCTCTCCCTCGTGCCAAAAACCGTGCTCTAGATCGTGCTTTTTGGTGCTCTCCCTCGTGCACAAAATTGTGCTTTTTGGTGCTCTCCCTGGTGCCAAAAACCGTGCTCTAGATCGTGCTTTTTGGTGCTCTCCCTCGTGCACAAAATTGTGCTTTTTGGTGCTCTCCCTCGTGCCAAAAACCGTGCTCTAGATCGTGCTTTTTGGTGCTCTCCTTCGTGCCAAAAATCGTGCTTTTTGGTGCCCTCCGTGCCACAAATCGTGCTTTTTGGTGCTTTCCCTCGTGCCAAAAATCGCGCTCTAGATCGTGCTTTTTGGTGCTCTCCCTCGTGCACAATATTGTGCTTTTTGGTGCTCTCCCTCGTGCCAAAAACCGTGCTCTAGATCGTGCTTCTTGGTGCTCTCCTTCGTGCCAAAAATCGTGCTTTTTGGTGCCCTCCGTGCCACAAATCGTGCTTTTTGGATCTTTTTGGTGCTTTCCCTCGTGCCAAAAATCGCGCTCTAGATCGTGCTTTTTGGTGCTCTCCCTCGTGCACAATATTGTGCTTTTTGGTGCTCTCCCTCGTGCCAAAAACCGTGCTCTAGATCGTGCTTTTTGGTGCTCTCCTTCGTGCCAAAAATCGTGCTTTTTGGTGCCCTCCGTGCCACAAATCGTGCTTTTTGGTGCTTTCCCTCGTGCCAAAAATCGCGCTCTAGATTGTGCTCACTGTTAAGTGTCAAATGATGTGTATATTGCAAATGAAGTTGGTGAAGTTTTTGTAGATGATTGACGATTTATGTAAATGATGAATGTGATGTACATGAAGTTGATGTAGGTGATGATGGTGATGCAAAGGATGTAGGAGATGTTGTGTGGATGAGGTGAAAAATGGAATTTGGCAGCAGTTCTTTGGGAAAAACTTGTCCTGCATCAACTTGGCTAATGTGATGTTGATTGGGCTTCGCTTCAAAATCAAATTGGAAGGGAAACAAAAGAAAATCTTACTGTGCCTGAGGCATAGAAAGAACGCAAGGACAGTTTTTTCAATCCAGCTATCTATTTATATAGGTAGATCATCCGCGCATAATACTCAGCAATACAACCTTTTTAGAAGGCTCCCTATCTTTCACTGTTGGTTTAGGTTCAGAATATCCTTGAAACACATTTTGGTTTCCAAATGTCCAGTCTTTACCCTCCAAATACATGTAGCCAATGTGCTTGTTTGTTTTGGGTTCAAGCTGAAACCAGAAGAGCAGGTTTGTGATAGAAACTCGCACAACTCATGCAATCTGGAGCAGAAGGTAGATTGGCAAAACTTGCCGGCAAGACTTGCCCTTCTTCTTTGGGCCCTTCTTTGCACTCCACTTTTCGCCATTCCACCTTAGAATTCGGCTTGACTAGTTTTCTGGTCGCTATGTGACAGACGCGAAGGACGAGTTCCCTGCCATTGAAGTGTTCCCTTCTCCGGCTTTCCGGCAGACTTTTGTACCTACATAGGCAAATTCCAGCTACTTATCAGCAACTTAAGTTTGTGGATTCAGCTGTTTCCATCGCGCCAAAGTGCCTTCCCCCCACCAAATTACACCAAAACTGTTTGCACAGTTTTCCCTACACGGACCACCTGGAGCAATTCGATTCATTTCCGTGATGGGAAAACTCTGCCAGAGGCGCATCAATCTCAACCGGCCCAATTCTAGCAATCGTGTTCTTTGCCACTGGAGCTGCCAACCTGTGCCTGTCGCAGAGAGAATGGTAGAATGAACGTTCCCACCAAGAAATACTCAGAACATCTAAGTTAGAATCTAAGAACATGCCCAAGAAGCTCTGCAAAATTCTGCAAACAATAGTCGGAGGCACGTCATACACAGTTTTTCTTCTTGATCCTCCCAGCTGACGTCCACAAACAGGACACACCTTGGATACAAAGTGTATGTGGCGCGTGCTCGTGTATGTGTGTCGTTTGCGTGATTATACGTGTGTGATGTGTGTGCGTGTCTGTCTGCTGGCAAGACAAGATATGAGCATACATACATGGGAGCAAGCTCAGGCCGCAGGATGCTGAAGGATCATCCTGCTGAACTCTCATATCATGATATATCATGCCTCTTCTGACCCGTTCATTCGTATTCTCCAACACAACGGTGCAAAAGGCAAAGGCATCATGCATCTTCTGTTGTTTGAATTTCATCCTCAAACATGTTCAACAACTTAGCAACTGCCAGTAGGTTCATTTTTTCCGCTGTCAGATTGTCATGTGCCTGTGCCTCTTGTCCAGCTGTGAGACGCCCCCCCCCCACACAGATGCACCGGGGCATACAGGCATTTGGAATAGGACAAAATTCAACCACATTCAATAATCGCTCACTTGCTGAATGGTTGCACACAGTCATGCGCTGTCCATATCGTTAAACCGAACAGTAGCAGTTGGGGCGCTTTCCTTCCTTGAGGGCGACAAAGGTCAACCTTGGAAAACAAACGGGGACGTGGTATGACAGCAGCATCCTGGATAGCACCTTGCGGCCTAACGAGTTCCCACCTTAAAAATTATACAAAAAATCTTTTATAAGCCCAATCTTGCAACGCATATTCATATTGTCCAATGATGTCGCCCAACTCCGAAGCAGTTGTCTTTGCCCTGGAAGAGTCAGTGCAATCCGAGTGACTGTAGCAGGGGATCAGGTTCAGGGCCTCCCCTCAGCAGTGATGTTTCCACAACAACATTGACACATATTCACACTCTCAACCGCTTTCAAGGAACAGAAGCGCTCGCCGGTACTCTTCGCCCTCCGGGGCTCGGACTTCTTCTTGCTCTTGCCCTTTTTGACCTCAATGATTTCATTCACAGGCTTGCTGAGGACGTCTGTCTTGTCCATGAAGGCGTTCGCTGCATACCTGCGTGGATCCACTCCACACGCCACAGCTCAATGCAAAGACATGACAAGTCTCACCATCACCATCGCCACTATGACCGTCACAATCCTCATCCTGCAAAGGCAACCAAGACAACGCCCCCAGTTCGCTTTCGCCTGTATTCCCCGTTCTCATCAGTCTGTGGCACCTGACATCGAGACGAAGCAAAGTGACATAGTGGATTTGGAGTCTGTCTTGGAATACTTTTGGAGCATACCATGCTGATGTTGCGTCTACATGCATGACATCATGACCGCTCTAGCCAGCATCTGTGAGATTCAGTTAGAAAAGGATTCGAGATGTTTGGACAATCTTGAACAATAGCTTCAATGCAAGTTCCGGAGTTTTCAAGTTCTGTGTGCAGAATTGCGGCATTTTGATGATATCAAAGCTTGCGATTTTTGGTAAACATAAAGCCGGTACCCTATTGCTTGAATTGAGCCAAAAGATAAAGTAGTTACAACGCCTTACACATCTTCACCCGTCGTCACCTAGATCAGCACAATCTGGATTCAAACCATGTTTAGATGCGTAGTTTTGAATCCACCCTTGCTGGCATAGCTTTCCCATCTTTCGCTCTGATTTGGCAATGGCCGCCTCAATAATGAGGGTCTCTCCGACTTGCATTGCCTGGCCAAGTCAAAGACTCTGAAAGGATGCAAGACAACCCTACGAAGGCCCAAATGAGCGTTATACCATGTCAAAATCACAACACAAACTGACACAAACACGCCGAAACTTTAGAACACCCGCGGGGAACTCATGGGACGAGCTTCTGGTGGAAAAGTCAGAGACCGGGAGGGCTGCCAAAGGGAAACCCAACAAAATCCATATCGTTGATGTAGTAAGCGATGCTTTATGATTGAGGGGGTTGGGAGATCGGCAAAGCTTCGCGGCCTGGAGAACTATGGAACTAGGTCAACCATGGAAAAAGCGAGCTGGCGCGCTGGTAAAACGGCAATAATGTATGATTTAATACAAACATCAAATCACAAGATTCGAGTAAGAAATGCGTTTTGTATGCCGGGCGCCGGGCGCCAATCAAGATAATCAAGATGCGACTTCAACACGAAGATGCGACTTCAGTCAAGACCCCAGTCCAATGTACTGCAATGCAATACGCATATCTACAGAAGAACTACAAATGAACTGGAACTGACTACGACATGCCGCAAACATACCACCGTAACATGACATACTACAACGTACAACCTATCCGATCTATCGAACCTATCAGTATCAACTGGAAAGTGCCACAAGCTCCTGCCGGACCAGAACCTTTCCTGAAAAAGAGCGGCTCTGTATCACAGCGTGATCACTGATAGCTACACCGCACAAAGATAGCACGCATGCACTGTTTTCATTTGTCCAGATGGTGCGTGAAGCCGATACCGCCAACAGGAACAAAATGCACCTCAGAATTCCGTTTCACATTTCCAAACATGTCGAACTATGCTTTTTCATTGCAGCATATTGCAGCCGTTTCAACAGTGAATTACGAATGTGCCAGCACGGTTGGGTGCCGCAGAAAAAATTACATCCATTCAATTCGGTTTTTCTTCAGAGAGATGTTTCGTACTACCATACACATCTTTTCATGGCCAATTTTGAATGGCCTATTCTTGTAAACAAGGACCAGTACCTAATTGAGATTTGCTTGACAATAATCAAGGCCCCGAGTCAACAAACTCGATGGATTGGCCATTGGACGTGGAGGCAGTTTCTCTCCTTCTCCTACTAGCTGGGTCTCCCAGTCCAATCCTTAGCACATGCAACCCTGAAGCCCGGGAAGGGAGATGCATTGAGAACAGTCAATACTTAGGAAGGGATGCCGCTGGAAGTGACTTTGTCAACCCTTGATGCTACAAGAGCAAGCTGGTACACTATGTTGGTAGGTTGAAGTATTGAAAAAGTGATCTGGCACTGTAGTGCAGTCAGGTTGGCTGGCATGATCATCTGGCAGAGTCAGTTGGAAACGAACCCAGAACATCACCAAAGACCAAAGCGAACTTTGGATCTGAACACATGACGGCACAGAAATGGCACAGATACTGCTTTCATGCGTTCACCAAGTTGTTGCCATATCTCCAAAATGACAAATAATATATGTAAACACATGCACATAGATCAGGCATGATCATGCTAACAATCAGCACGTGTGCGACCGTGTGCAAAGTGAGGTCCCTGGCCAAACGAAGCGCCGGTTCGCTGTGCAAAAAGGCCTTCTCTTTCCTGCATCTCAAAGTCTCAGTATTGCGTAGTAACGTAGTACTGTACAATTCACTTTGTCTGTATTCACGAGCTTCAAACATATCATTGTGAGGTTGCGCTATTTTGCAGCAAAGCACACAAGTTCTTGACCCCTTCCCACAAAGACAAATAAGAATCACGTGGGTGAAGGAGAAGTCGATGCAGAAAACCAAAGATAGAGTTACAAAATGTTACGAAATCAAGACTGCAAACGTCTGCAAGCGAGAGACAACACAGGCAGTGTCCTCCAGGAATGCACGCGGCTGTCGAACCAGCTTGCTTGGTCGCTTTCGCAAATTCTTAACAAACAGCCTCAGAAAAAAACGAGCAATGTCATGTTATTTCATGTTGTTTCATGTTATTTCTAGGTGCCAAGCTAGCTCTCCAACTCTTTTTCTTCCTCTTTTGGTTGTTGTTGGTCTTCTTGCTCTTGTTCCTGTACTTGTTCTTGTTGCTGTTGTTGTAGGTATGCTGTAGGTATGTTGTAGGTATGCTGTAGGTATGTTGTAGGTATGTTGTAGGTATGTTGTAGGTATGTTGTAGGTATGTGATAGTCAATTATTGCATGTATATAGTATGTTGTAGTATGTTGAAGTTATGGGACTTCCGGCAAGTAGACTTGTTCTGTCCCACATAGAGCTCTGCTTCTCTACGTTCCATTTTTGGCACTTGCACTTCCCTGAAGGTGCTGCGCTGTTGAATGTGCTCCAGGGTGGTTAGGGGCTACGTGCCCTGCTATATTCCTTTGTCTCTTCAGTCCAACGCTGATGGCGCCCCAGAGATTGAAGCTATGCAAGCGAATTGAGGCACATGATGGCAACGTATGGCAAATGTCATTTGGCTTGGCAATGAGAACTTCTGCAAACCCGTATTGTTGGCTGGCAGTCCTGAGCGGCAAACCGGCAGGTTTCCGTTGCATAAAAGAAGAAATGAGAGTTGCTGTTGCAACCACGCACCCATGGTTTTGTCTTCACAACCCAAGACTCACCACCACTTTGCGCAGCAAAGGAGCCATCAAAATATAAGTGGGGCTTAGTGGCTGGATTCTGGAAAATGGGCAGAAAGGTCAAAACATCCGGCCTTCCCAGAGAAAAAAATAAAAAATAAAGAAATGGTGGGCTCTAGTAGTATGCCAAGTCGATTCAATGAAGATGGTGGAAATAATGTTGGTGAAAACAGCAAACATGAAGGCCAGGTGTTTATGTCAAAACGCACTGAAAGGGTCACCCCGAAGCACCAGACGCCTCGCCTTTTGTTTGGTTGGAAAAATGATTCATTTTTGGGACCGGATTCTTGTTGCCCCAGGCACAAATGATTGGTCGTTTTGTCGTTGCTGCTACCGGTGCTGCTGCTTTCATGCGTAGTTTTGCTGTCGCTGTAATTGTCGTCTAGAGTCTAAACGATACGGCTTCAAATTCTGCAGGTCTTTTCGGCGTTCTGTTCATATTTTTTGCTTGCATTTTTGAAATTTGCACATTTGGTTTACTTTGCTTGGATTGTTTGCTCTTTGTGTCTTGTGCTGTGGCAATGGATAGCCGTTCAGGGAACCAAAGCCTGATAAGCCTGAGTCAGAAACTGCAGCCGACCTGCGTAGGAAAGTCAGCACAGAATGAGTGGGAACGGAGTCAGTGCGCGCGTGTATGTGTATTTGGTGAAAGGCCCAAAGTTTGAACGCTTCTCCCATACACAAAATTAAAGGACAGGATAACCCCACAAGTCAATTTCTTCCAATAATGAGTAACATATGTTGTAGCAGGGACGGGGAAGGAAGGAAAGACGAAGGAGGTGGTGGAGGATCCAGAAGTAAAACAAGTTGTATGTGAAGAGTTGTGCGTGACGAAGTGGTATGTGAAAGATGGTGTGGGACGAAGAAAATGGTGTATGTGACAAAGTTTTGTGTGAAAGATTGTGTGTGTGTGAGAGTTGTGAGTGAAAGGTGGTGTGTGACAAAGCGGTGTGTGAAAGATGGTGCGTGGCAAAAGAAAAAGGTGCAGGGTCCCAAGATGCCGTGTAGAGACATCAAAGCATGTCACTTACAGTTGTGACTGCGCAAAACGACAAGTTCATTGCTGGATAAGAAAATGTAAACCGGCACAAAACATGAACTGAGTCCAAGCTAGGCACTGACATGCGGCATCACTGCGGACTTTTTTTCGCGCCAGCGCTCCAATGTCATCTGCTTGGCATCCGATTTCTTCCCACGGTGGGTCAAAATCGAAACGGCCACACCTGCCACGCGAAACGAAGGTGGATGTCGCCAAGTGCCAAGCCTGCCACGCAAAGTTGGGCGGCGTCACCAGTGACCAAGCGCGCCCCAGCGCGCCCAAGCGCCACTTGAGCCAGCCCAGTGCCATAAGGGCCACGCCTGCCACGCAAAACGAAGCCCAGTGCCATAAGTGCCACGCCTGCCACACGAAACGAAGGTGAATGTGACCAAGTGCCACACCTGCCACGCGAAACGAAAATGGATGTCGCCAAGTGCCACACCTGCCACGCAAAGTTTTGGCGTCACCGGCGATCAAGCGTGCCCAAGCGCGCCCAAGCGCGCTCAAGCGCGCCACCAGAGCCAGCCCAGTGCCATAAGCGCCACGCCTGCCACGCAAAACGAAGCCCAGTGCCATAAGTGCCACGCCTGCCACACGAAACGAAGGTGAATGTGACCAAGTGCCACACCTGCCACGCGAAACGAAGGTGGATGTCGCCAAGTGCCACGCCTGCCACGCAAAGCGAAGCCTGCCACGCAAAACAGATGGTGTGTGACAAAGGTGGCGGTGTGTGACAGAGTTGTGTGTGAAAGATGGTTGGTAACAAAGTTCTAGCTCCAAGTTACCCAAACTCAGAAACATTACCATACCATGAATCCATCGTACTCCAGACCTGTCTCTTTGGACCCATTGTTTTCCCAACCTGTTTCCCTGTGTGTGACATGTTTCACACCTGTGAATTGACTGGTTGCGGTGGGAAGACCTTTCAGCTCAATTTGGAAATTGTTTGGCACCATGTCGATGCCTTGTGTTGTTCCTGAAATGCTATGGAGCCTGGATGAGCTAAAGTGTACTCTGATAAGTGAGTTTCCCATTTTGGTGACTGAAGAAGGAGAGGGTTTCAAAATATTGTTTGACTTGTTTGTTGAATGGGCTGAAATCCTGTTAAATTGCCACAACCAGCATCCGTTCTGTTGAATTTGGGGAATTGTGGCTCAGAATCCTTCTCTCAGGGGATTTCCGGCCGCGCATACTCATGTGGCATCGCACTCGAGGGGTGTCATCGCACTCCAGAGGACCCCATCGCACTCCACATACATACTCACAGATCTTAGTACTCCACTAAAGGCATCGTATACCAGAAAAACCTTCGCATACAGCCAAAACCATTTTTTTGAAAAAATGAACCTGAAGAGGTTTTTATTTTTATTTTTTTCTCTTCGGAGGTAAAATGCTCTGGAACATGATAATATGGAATATGGGGGAAATCGTTGTTTTTCCAGCGTTTTGAAGAGTCGCGCGTACAATCATATTCCATCAATTTTTGATACTTTAGACCTGTGGAGGCTATGGAAATCCTCGGTTGTGATGTTAGTCGTGCAGGATGGAGTGTGATGCTTTGTGGGTATATGGAATGGAATTTGTGACCCCAATTTGATCAAAAAAGATGTCAACATATGCTTGAGAATCCCACATGCAAGACTGGCAACGCATACCAGGGGGGCATCGTACTCCAGGGGGGGCATCGTACTGCAGGGGTGGCATCCTACTCAATGTAACTGTATTAAGTGGAAATATGATACCATTTGGGTTCGAGGAAGAACAGCGTAATCCAGACTTGGCCCAGTTTACGGATTCGGAAGCTGAACCGCCAGCCAAACGCGTCAAAAAAATAAGCTGAACAGCTTTTCCAATGGTCTTAAAAGATCCTAGAGAGAAGTTGATGATTGATGAGAGAAACAAGACTTTATGTTTATTCAAGAAATCATTGCTTGAGAAGCTGTGGACTCACAGGATCTTAGCAGGGTTAAAAATGTGCGATTGGACATGACAGCACGTGACAAGGGAAAAGGTGGGCCTGACAAGGGTCACACAACCTCATTCTCACCATTAAAGGTCGTTCATTATTTTCCAAACTTCCGGAGCTATTTTGGCATGGAATATGAACAGCCTTGGAATATGGGTAAGATTTTGCTAGGAAAGTTGTGCGTGAAAGATGGTGTGTGACAAGTTGTGTGTGAAAGATGGTTGTATGTGAAAGATGGTGTGTGACAAAGTTGTGTATGAAAGATAGTTGTGTGACAAAGTTGTGTGTGAAAGATAGTGTGTGACAAAGTTGTGTGTGAAAGATGGTGTGCGACAAAACTGTGTGTGAAAGGTGGTGTGGGACAAAATTGTATGTGAAAGATAGTTGTATGTGAAAGATTGTGTGAGACAAAGTTGTATGTGAAAGATGGTGTGTGACAAAGTTGTGTGAAAGATAGTTGTGTGACAAAGATTGGGACAAAGTTGGTGTGTGAAAGATGGTGTGTGACAAAGATGGTGTGAGACAAAGTTGTATGTGAAAGATAGTTGTATGTGTTGGTGTGTGAGAGATAGTTGTGTGACAAAGTTGGTGTGTGAAAGATGGTGGGTGACAAAGTTGGTGTGTGAAAGATGGTGTGTGACAAAGCTGGTGTGTGAAAGATGGTGTGAAAGATAGTGTGTGACAAAGATGGTGTGTGAAAGATAGTGTGAAGAAGGAGTTGTGTGTGAAAGATGGTGTGTGTGGGAACGGAGGAGGGGGCGGAGGAGGCGGAGGAGCAGGCGGAGGAGAGGCGGAGGAGGCGGGATACAGAATCAAAAGCAAGAACCCCACACAAAGATGTGGGGAAAAACAACAAAAACTGCTGTGCAAAGCCCTACGGCTTGGAACATTCATTCTAGGGTAACTCTGGTTAGCCAATTTCTGACCAAGTCAATGCTTGGTGGGTTGCGTTGAGTGGTTGAACATATTGAGCCAGGTCTTTTGGTTTTGTTGATTGCCATTTCTTTTTCAGTTCTTAGCCATCCTTTCCGGCCTCTTTGGGTCTGTTTGTTGCTTCTTGTTCCAGATGTTCCAGTCTTGCTGTGTCCATTGTCAGGCACCCAAGTTCCCGGCTTGAGCTCCGCATTTGGCTTTGACAAATACGATAACATTGCCTGCGGAACAAGTCAAGGTGATTTGGAGTTGCCAACATGAGACAGTGAGATGCCTCTGAAAATATCTCAAAGCATGTCAAAACTCCAAACCACCATTCCGAGTGAAGATATATGACTGAAGCATATTGAGACATATTGAGTTGTTTGCTTGCGAGAAGCAAACAAAACAAACTTGAAATTCCATCCACTGAATCTCATTGGCTCTTACAAAGCTTCGGACTGTTGTGTTTCCTTCACCAGGACGTTCACCCCGAAGGAGTGTTACAGATCTTGGACCTTGGAAGGCTAGGGATCGGACCGAGACATGAGATGACACCGAAACACATTCACACTGTTTAGAGTCTTAGAGTCCATGTCTCGAAATTGCGAGAATAACTTGGGGCCAAGGGGCAAGGGACAATCAAGGACAAAAGCCAGCTGGGATCGTAACGGGAGGAGGAAGATGTTGGAAGGTGCTGTGAAAGAGCGGTGTGAGGAATTGGGAGGTACAAAGTGGAGAGCGAGTGGAGAGCAAGCGGGGAGTTAATTATAATGGCAATTCCAGCCCCTGCCAATACGTTGCTGCTAAACAACAGGGACTTCAGCTGGCAGAAGCTACCTTTTTGACAATGTATCCATTGTAGTATGGTATGATCACGATATACAAATATGCGCAAAGGCGCTGAGATCTATCGCTGCGAGCTAGGCCTCTTGCCTGCACCTCCTTCTCGCGGTGGACCGATGTAGAAGACGGATATCCAGGTATCAAAGGGCCTCCATCCATATCCATGAGCTTCGAATGTTTTCATGCTTTTGGTACAGAACTTGGATGCATAATGATAATGATGAATATCTGCAGCTCAACATTTTCATTCATGCTGAGTGCAAAACAATCTCAGATGAAGCCGCAGCAAGGCCATCACATCTTCAGCGGTGGCCAAATTCAATGGCAATGCAACCTCAGGGCTTCGCAGCTTCCCGGGGAAAAACGTCCAGATTTTCCAAAACCACGAAACAACCATCAGGCCCTCCGCAAAGCCAAAGTTTCTGGCTTGTCAGCTTACTGGTGATTCCAGAATAGAAAGAAGAAAGGTGGCGGAGTCAGGTTGCCAAATGAAGCATGTCAACGTGTCTTGGCTGTGACCGGGATGCTAGGAAATTCAAAGCGGCTGCGTCGGTGGTTGAGTACACTTGCAGCCAACGGGACAGCATTTACTTGCTCACATGTATGTATGCAAGAATCTGTAGAAAATGCTGGGTGATAAAGTAAAAGGTTGTCGTTGTGACCGGCAGGGAGAATATTCAGAATACTATGAGGGGACATGGCGCAGAAGCTGTTTTGAATCAGTGAAAAGGGTCCACTTTCCGGAGCCGCAAGACGCCATGCTGACCTCTTGCTCTCTGGCAGCGTGCCGCCTTTACAACGCTTATGTCAGGAAGCTGTCTTGCGTGCATCTTGGGATGTGCGTGGTACAACGTCAGGAGCGCACCTACCACCCTCACAAGTCGACCTACGACCCTTCAAGGCCACTACGACCCTCAAACCCGCATGCCAGGAGCGCACCTTCGACCCTCACAGCTCAACCTACGACCCTTCAAGATCACACATACGACACTCAAACCCGCATGCCAGGAGCGCACCTACGACCCTCACAGCTCAACCTACGACCCTTCAAGGCCACACCTACGACCCTCAAACCCGCATGTCAGGAGCGCACCTACGACCCTCACAGCTCAACCTACGGCCCTTCAAGGCCACACCTACGACCCTCAAACCCGCATGTCAGGAAGTCACGACGACCCTTTGTGCACTTTGGCCGAATACAAAGGTATTAGCCAAAGCGCGTGAAAAGGAGGAAAGGCTGAAAGCCTCTAATACACCACCAACAGTTGCAAGGCAAGTTTTAGCGCTGTATGGTGTCCACATTGCCAAAGCACACAGAACGTAGCTAGCATCTTTCCATAATCCGTTGCAATTGGTTTCCTCACAGTTAGATAGTGGAGAGTGCGTTTGGCTGTCAGTCGGCTTGTGCTCGAACGGTGCTGCCACCAGGGCCCGCTTTTGGGACCGCATCCGCACATGAAAAATGAAGTCTTGATGGTGGGCCCTCAATGTGAAACTTGGATGAGGCTTTGTCAAGCCAATTGGCAGGAGAACAAACGAAATGTTCCGAAGTCTCCGCTACTCACTGCACGCAGAGGGGGGCTGACTGTGTATGCAACACCCTGGTCCCAGAAATGGGGCCGCCATTTTGGAAGCCTTTCCTTCTTCCGGTAATATTGCGGGCCCGTTTTTGGGGCCGGTTTTTGGCGACCGCGAAGGAGCAACCAGGAGCTGCCAGACGGTCCTGACGGCCCGGATTTCGTCCATTTACTGGCGCCAGCCTTCCTTCTGCAATGCAAGCCGCCATGGACACACACATCCGTATAATACTGTAGTTACATATGGTCACCGTCCCCACGGGTGCCTATATTATTGTAGCATTT